TAATTAATTTATTCTATTTAGGTAAAATAAATGATAATAATAGATATTTTAATTACAATTTTTTCTTTTAAAAAAAAAATTCAAACACTAAATAGTTATTTTTTTTGTTACTTTATTTTGAACCATTTTTTATATTAATTAATTAATAGAGGAAGAACTTTGCTATTGTCATTAAGTTTTCATTAAATGAAAAGAATTATTATGATATCATTTCATTTTGATTGATACTTGAATTTAATTCTTTTATGAGAAATCCTTCTCTACATATTAATGTTATATGGTTTACGTGTGTATATATATATATATATATATCTATGTCATCATCATTACTACATTGAGTTAGGAAACATATTTTAGTTAATATATATGATAATTTTCAATTATAATATAGATTTAATATCATATAATTATTATTTTTTAAATATTTATATACTCAAAGAGTAGTAAATTTTGTTTTCAGATGTCATTTCTTAAAAATTATTAGAATTTATTATTAGCATAGAAGATCTAATATCAACCAATCCGAGAATTATTAAATTTTTCTTTATTACATGATGCGAATTATTTTTAATTAAATATTCAATGTATGTATTTTCTGTGATTGATATTGAAATTTTCCATCTCTTTCTTTTAATTAGGTGCTTCTTGATTATCTTTATGTTCTATAAAAAAAATTAATTTTTTTTTTAAATTTTTAACTAATTATAAAACATAAAATAAAATAATTATAAATTACAACTTCTGAATTATATATTATAAAGTTTAATTCTTTTCAAAAAATAATGTTACCATAAATCTAATAACAATTGAATCTTTAGAAGGTTGGTGATTTTCTCCTTATAAATTACATCTTCATTCACTATTTGGAACAATAGAGGGTACTGAGAGAGACAAGAAGGACTAAGTATATAGATGTGTGTGTATATATATAATATCATTTGAAAATTTCACTCTTTCCCGTTGACATCAACTAATTTTTTGGTTAATTTTGAGCTGGAAATAAAATAATCTAAATATCTCCTCATTGTTATTTATCTCCAATTAATTATCATATTCTATTTTGAGTTTTTGCTTGCTAATCATGACCTTTCCATCCATCTTTTTAGCGTCTTGATATTTGCACTAGTTAACCATTAAATTTAATATTATACAGCCTTCAACAAATAAGTTGTGAGATACATAAGTTTTAGTCACACATTTTTTTTAAAAAAAATTAACTTAATCTCTGATAAATATAAGCCTAAGTTCAATGTGTATTGCATTTTAGTTTGGTCAATATTCAAATTAGATGCATTAGACGTGGATATTAAATACACTTAACATATGATATGCCAAAAAAAAAATTTAGCTAAGGATCATGGCTGAATGATTAAAACATTTAATTTATAATTGACGATTTCGTAAGTCTAATTTCTACTTGATGCGCCAATGGGACCCTTCAATAACTTGATTTGAATTGGCTCTCTATCAATAGAATTTTATCATCTATATATATAACGAATTGGTGTGGTATATTTATATCATAAAATATGAAAAATAAGAACTAACATTTTATTAAAACTAAAATTCATAAGGAAAAAAATAGATTTATGGATAGTTTAATTGTTTTTAATAAAAATTTAAAAAAATTAAAAAATAAAAAATATAAAACAAAAACAACAAACAAAAGTAACTTCACCTACAAACAATGACTTCCACTCCACCCCTAACAGCCATAGCTAATAAAATCATAAGGAACCCACATTATCTCCAATAAAAAACATATGCGGCTATGAACCAGTTAAAGTACTTTAGCTCCCCCACGATCCCCATTAACCTCTACAACCCATAATCCCCAATATCACGTGTATTTCATTTCTCCCACATTTTTAATTCAGTTCCTTAATCTTAGGAAGTGATGTGCAAAACTTTTTATATTTAAAGCACACCAGCATCATTAATAAAATGGAAGTTGAATTATGTAAATCAACTCTATGGTGTTTCTCCCCCAAAAGAGAAAAGCTTTCTTAATTTCTTACAAGCATTTGATTGGAACCTATCAATTGGTATCAGAACATGTACACCATGGCATTTAAAGAGAGAGGATTGAAAATCTGGAGGTTAGTGTCAGTACTTTACACGATAACATGAGTTGGATGGAAACATGTATGACTGACAAGCTCCACTAGATCGAAGAGATCTTCAAGCAGCTAACAGAGACTTTAGTGCTGAATCGAAAAGGCTCTGGTAATAATACCGCGAATCAAAACATAGATGACGACGTTAAGAAGACAAACGGGGGTGTAACGCCCAAACAATTGGGCATTTTTGTAATTTTCTTATTA